AGTAAAAAAGGTCAATTTATGCGATTTAAGGGAGACAACCCTTCAACCACAAAAATCAATAAACGAAGGGCTCAAATTTGAAAAAGAGTAAAGTTTGCAGAGTTTTTCTTTATTTTCTTTTTTCCTTTTTTACTCTTTTTCTTTCTCTCTCCTGCTCATAAAAAACATATAATTTGATTTATTATCTGAATTACTAAAAATTAGTATAAATACAAAATATCATATGTAATCTTTTTCATCTTTTATTTGTTATTTTTCTCTATATATACATTTTATAAATACATCTCAACACAAAGACATCTAAAATATCCCTAAACCTAAAGATGTTCCCGTTCAGATGTTAAAAAAATGTTTTATGATTTTATTGTTTATAGTTGAAAAAAGAAAAAAAAAATTCCGTATTGTTGGTGGTACACCTAGCTAGCTATTGTGACTGGTATACAACAAACAAGTACTATTCATCTTCCATGAAGAAGCCACTCGTCTAATATAAGTAGTAACTGTTTCAAGATATTGATACTCAAGTTTCTCCAATATTTATTAGTCATAATTATGCTTTTGCTTCCTATGTGAGTTATTCATCAATATGCTTCCCTCTCACACACAGGACTGGCAGAATCATGAGTAATGCATAGATTACGTGGTGAATTTTGAACCCATAATCGTAGTTGCAATTTTTTCTTTTTTAAATATTTTTCCCTCATAGGTTAATTTACTTTATATATAAAAGAGGGTATGAAAAAGCAATTTTTTTTGTTATAAATCCGTTTTAAAAAATGTTGTGGGCTTACATGGTTTCTTTAAATATTTCAAGTCTGAGACTAATTTCCGTTTCAAATATTTAAGAAGTTGTTCCTACCTCACAAGTACTGTTTTTCTTGCATATATTTAACATTGCAAGAGGTCCCTGTTATATAACTGATTTTTCCTAAAAATGCAGTATAATTTAAAGAATAAAATATAAGTGATATATTACAAATGAGAAAGTAAGAGAATATATATATATATATATATATATATATATATAAAGGAAGATTTTTTTATACCAGTGTAAGTCTAAAAATTCTTACACCCAATCTGATCCTTTCATTTAATTTAAATCTAACGGATTATAATTTATTATTTTACTGACCGTTAAATTTAAGTTAAATGAAAGGCTCAAATTAAGTGTAAGAATTTTTAAATTTACACTGGTACAAGAAGATCTTGCCCATATATATATATAAAAACTTTATAATTACTTACTATCACACTCTAAAACACTTTTAATTAAGTTTGTTTGATGACTAGATGTTTAACATCACATGTGTGAAATTAATATTATTAGATGGTTGGTGTGGGGGAGACTTAGGTGGTTTGTTTATACAATTAAAGTAGATGGTAAAGAATTTCTAAAAATTAATCAAGCAAAGCAAAGTAAGATTTCGGATCTTGTTCTCACAGATTGAAATACTCATACCTTTTTTTAAAGTGAAATAAATATATTTTTCAAAAATTATTGTCTGAATCAATTGCGCAATTTCCTTATTTAAAATTTTTGCTTACTTATGCATACGATAGAAGAGGGTTTTTATGTTTACTGGTAGTTTGATATAATCAGGAAAGGCATTGAGGGTTAATAGCGGAATAGAAACTAATATAGTAGAAACTAATTTAACTAGAAATATCTTTGATGAGCAATTTGAACACAAACTCTTGACCTTATTGTCACCAAGAAAACACACACGCGGAATTTAAAAAATGGTAAATAATTTATTAAAAATTTCAATAAATAATCATATATTTTAAGCCCAATCTTAGTTGCATATATAGGTGTGTAACATAGATAGCAGACATGCATATTTTTTTTACATGTGCAGGCATTTTCTATATTAGAGCACCGAAGTAAATAGGAATAGATTAGCAAACAAATAAGAATTTTCTTATAAGTGTTGGGAAATGTGAGAAAGATTATTATATTCATAGAATTTAAGGGTAGAAACAATTCAGTTAGTTAAGGAGATAAGAAATTCCATCACTTCAAGAAACACTGAAATTTAGATATAGATAGACATCACGGATAGCCAATTAGGGTATCCTTTATTACGAAGCCAAGTAACTGAGGCGTGAGGGTTATGTGTCTGCTTCTTTTAAGACAAAAAGGGAGGGGCCGGAGGGGAATCTAACCCTAGGCATTAACTATAACCTATATAACATGCCACCAAACATTCCAAAACAATATCTAATTACACTCTTTTCTCCCATACCATGTTATTTTCTATAGCACATATATATTGTGCAATACGTTTGGGGCGGAGCAAATATCTTTGCCTGCTTAGAAGTATGCACTACTAGATACTATGTTTCGTTGTCTGCTAATTAATAATTTATGTGCTTCTAAAGACACATATTATGAAAATCACATGCCTTTTCCCAATTAATTAATTACTTAGTTTCTTCTTCCATCTGCGCATTTCTTTCTATTATTTAATTTTTACATGATCAAATGGGACATAGACATTGGGAAGGATGGGAGAGCAGAGATTCCACTTCCTTTAATTGAAGAAAGGGATGGGGCATCCTTTCAGATTCAACACCTGTTCCTTGACCAAGACTATTGTGCCATTCTTTGCTCCCATACCAAACTTCTTCAATCCCATTCCCCTAACAAAATATTTAATTTTTTTAGAATAAATTTAATTTTTCTTTTTTGAAAAGAAACAAAATACCAATATATTATGTCCACTAGAGGGCATCACCCACCTCCAATAAAATCCAAAACTCATTCAATTGTTTTGTAGCCCCCAGCACTTTCCTTTTGCTTACATCACCCATTTCAGACACTGTCCCCAACTCTCTACCACTGCTATGTAACTTTCTCTGCCTTACCATCGTACACATCATGAATTATACATGTACAGTACAGTTTATTTAACCCCTTAATCACACCAACCCTCTCTCACTCACACGCGGACACAGACATGAAAAGTATTGTTGTTGGTACACATTGCACAGGAAGAATCCGTTTAGGAAATCATGGAGACAGCAATGTGTGTCACTGTCAAGAAATGAAGGCAATAAATGGTTATTGGGTTATTAGGTAATCTAAAACATTAATGCTTGGTTGGCTAGCAAATACTGTGAAGAGTTTTTATTTGTTGGTTATAATGAATGGATGGTCAAAGTGATAGGAGTATAATGGCCTGTCTGTCAAGCTTTTTCTGGTGTGTGTCAGAGTGGGGAAATGAAAGTAATGAGTTCTTCTCCATTTAGTCATTATGTAACCTACAGATTCAACAGAGATGCAAGTGTAGCAGGTGCAAACAAAGGAGATACCGACTATACTATGTGTGTGTGAGAGAGAGATGGTGGAGCTGATCATAAATTTCAAGTATATAGATTGTGTCGTTGAAACTTTGTTTCTGTAGTTCATGATTTTGGTTTGGAAAAATGATCACTACCAGGTTATGGTTACAAGCTGTTGCACTCTAGCTGGTGTCATTTTATGTATGCCGCGGTTTCTCTCTCAATGTTACTATATGTATGATACGTTGCTTTCAATTTCTATTTTCAAACTTTAGGTTTAATACTTTTTGTAATTTTTTAAAACAAAAAAAAAGACTTGTGGAAACTTTATACAGCAATGTTTTAATTTGCATATCAGGAGCAGGTGAAATTTGTAATAAGAAAGAAGAAAAGAAAAATGTTTTCCCTAGCAGTGCAACAAGGATTGAGGAGGGTTCTCTGTGTGTTTATGTTTAGTGTTTAATTTTAGCATCCTGCAACCTACTGGAACTTTAGAATCAAGTATTCAACTCTTTTAGCTTCAAGAATTTACAGTGAAGTTGAGACTACATTAATCATTTTTTCGTTTAGGTTTTGAAAAAATAATAACTTAGGTCTTCCTTTTTCGGGTAAAAAAAAATTAGGAATGTTAATGTCTGACACCGTAAAGCATATACAAACTGTATAGTACTGTATACATGTATACACTCACATATATATAATACAAAGTTTTTTCTGGCTTATCTAATAATTAGTAGTGCAAATTATTATCCAATAATTAATAGTGCAATTTATGTGTTATTACTCACAACTTAGTTATCACTACTTGATAGTCGCTACTGTGATGTAATAGTATATCAAACAGTCATTTGATGTTGATATTTCGCTTCCTCTAAGGGATATCCTGCCACCATTATCTTGTTCCTCGTGTAGCAGACAACCGATCGAACAAAATTACAAGTTCAAGGAATTTTATTTTTTTAAAGTCTCTCTCTCTCTCTTTCATATATATTAAGTTATTTATAAGGTGATAACATTTATTAGGTGTGGTGTTGTGGCTGGTCGAGTTGAATAAATGGTTGTGGTTTAGGAAGTTTGGCTGGGACTGGAATCATGAGTACTTGCTGATACCTAAGAGTGTCAGGAAACAGAACGGTAAGCGATGGAAAATAAATTTAAAAAAAAAAAAATAGGAAAAGATGCTGCTGCTGGAGCATTGGGGTTCAAAGTTATATAGGAAGATAAGAGTCATCAAAGACATGTAGCTACGTACGTAACTCATAAATCATGCTGTCATTGAAGCTATATATATATATATTACCTTTGGCCTTTGCTGCTGATAGATGATTCAAGAATTTGGGTGACTTTGGTTGTTTTCAACATTGTAGGTTATTGAAAAATAAGGATTTGGGGAAGGGAGAAGGAAAACAGGTGGTGGGGCCTCAATAAAATATTAAAATATTTGTGTAAATTGAAAAGTATATGATTCATTTATTTCACCCCCTCTTTTCCCCCCACCTAAATGTAATGTATGTGTAGGAGAGAGAAAGAGATAGAGAGAGAGAGAGAGAGAGAAGAAGCGGTATAAATGTGAGGTTTCCTTGTTGGTGGGCTTATATAAAGGAGGATAGGATGTTGCAGTTCCCCACTATTAAAGATAGCTAGGTAAAGGGGTGCAAAGGAAGAGAAGAGATCAAATATATAGAGCCTATAGTTGCTTTGCTTGTGAGGATTTGATGGAAGAACATCTCACTCCATTGGCTGTTACCCATCTCCTTCAACACACTCTCAGAAGTTTGTGCATCCATGAAAATTCTCAGTGGGTCTATGCTGTCTTCTGGAGGATCTTGCCTAGGAACTACCCTCCACCCAAGTAAGGAGAGGAAAATTAAAGATCAACCATTTCTTATTAACTCAGAATGTTCACAGAAAGAGATTTTGGGCACTAGGCACAAACATCACACACATATATACTATTTATGAACTAAATGATTACGACTTCATAAGACATTTCTCTGTTGGTTAGGATATAAGTGTTTGCTGATTTTTCAATCTTGTTTCTTCTTAACATAGGTGGGAAGGACAAGGGGCTTACGATAGATCAAGAGGAAACAGGAGGAACTGGTAATGTTTTTCAGTGTTAAGTTCAATATGCTAGTGCAAGATTATTGTGTTTTGGTTAACAACATATTTATATGCATGCAGGATATTGGTGTGGGAAGATGGTTTCTGCAATTTTGCTGCCTCCGCAGCACCTGAAATTAACTCTGCTGATTGTCCTACTTCATCTGTTTATGGGAACTGTGAATTACAGCCCTACCAAGGGCTGCAACCGGAACTCTTCTTCAAGATGTCACATGAGATCTATAACTATGGAGAAGGGTATGCATCTATATATATCAATCCATATTAATCTCCCTATTTGTATCACATTTCTTGTATTTTGTTATTGGGAGATTTTCAAAGCAAAAAGGTTCAATTAATTAAATTTCATGGAGCAGGTTGATAGGAAAAGTGGCTGCAGATCACAGCCACAAGTGGATATACAAAGAACCTAATGATCAAGAAATTAACTTTTTGTCAGCATGGCACAATTCAGCAGACTCGGTGAGTGCTTTATATGCTTACACAGTGAGCATTAAATGACATATTTAAATGTTAATATAATCTAAGTTTAGTCATTAATTTCACATTAAAAAACCTTTAAGATATTCCCATGTTGCAAATTAATAGCCATGATTTCATGTTTATTTATGCTTCCCAATAAAAAATCTTTCGGTATATCCTGATTACATATATGCTCTTTTACAGCACCCTAGGACTTGGGAAGCCCAGTTCCTGTCTGGTATAAAGGTATGGCACTCAAATATGCAGCCCCCATTAGATTTCAGACAAGATTTCCTTTCTATATTTAATTCAGTTTTATATCTTTCAGACCATAGCTCTTATTGCTGTAAGAGAGGGTGTTGTTCAATTAGGAGCCGTTCACAAGGTGATCTCTCTTCTCCTTTCTCTCTTTCACTCTCACAAAACCACACACTTAGCAAAAATATATTTTACAGTTGTACTCACTCAGATCGTGTCCACTCTATTATGTCTCTCTATGGCACTCAAGGTGATTGAAGACCTGAGCTATGTGGTTCTTTTGAGAAAAAAGTTCAGCTACATTGAGAGCATCCCTGGTGTACTGTTGCCACATCCATCATCTTCTGCATACCCTTATAAAGTAGAAGGAGGGTATGGAATCCCAGAACAATGGCATTTCCAAGGCAACCACCTTGCACCCCAAGCTGAATTATATGACCATCATTTCAACTTGCCGCTGAAGGTAACACCCTCAATGAGTAGCCTTGAGGCACTACTCTCTAAGCTACCGTCAGTTGTGCCACCACCACCACAACAACAACCAACACAACCGCAGTCACATCATCATGTTTTGTCATCATCCCAAAGGCCATTAGAATTCATGGGAATGCAAAAAGTGGCAAAGGAAGAGTTAGATGAAGAGGTATACAGGCCAGAACTTGATATAGGTGAAAGCAGCAGTTCAATGCCAGGGTTCCATCATCAACATCATTTTCATCAGCAACAAGATCAGAATAATGTAACTAGGAACGGATCCAACAATGGATTTTGAGTATTAGACTTATAATAACATAAGGGAATCAACGGAATTAATGAAAATTAGTCATAATTACGTCCTAACATTGTAGTAAGTTGTTAATTAGCTTCAGTATTATTATGATATAATAATAAATACTGCGTTTTCAGCTTGAGCTGTAGTCTTTTAGCCTTGTTTTTTTCTAGATGCTTCTGATTCTTGCTAGTGTGTTGTAGTATCAAAGTAACTTTCATTTCATGCATGCGTGTGCACATCTGCAGCTGCTGCTCAACATGTGTCAGTCATTGTGCCTCTGAATGTAAGGGTAGTAATCCATAGAACGTAGTCAGCACGCACAGCGAATCTAGCACAATATACTGAAAAATCAACGGCTGCATGCGGCTGTTTAAGGATGTAAAACGTAACGAACACTAATATATTATTGTAACTTATAATAAAATACCATAAAATAAGAAAATATATGCTATATATAGTCCATATAATAAGGCCACTCAATCAGCATGCTGAGGATATATCTACGTAATTGTGATTTAGAGATACTAATTTGGGTTCAACTGGAGATTAACGAGGGTGGGGTAGCGGTAGTTGTGGGGAGAGAGAAGAACACTATATCTATGTCACGCAGCTGCCACGTGCACTATACTCTGAGAAACCCTTACTATGATATATGCATACTGAAAATCATACAGTAGGTAGAAAATAATAATAGGGGTTGCAGAACACGGTTGTAACCTAACTTACAGTGCATTGTCTATTAAAATCAAACTATTATATTTTTACACTTATTTTCTCTTTTATATTTATTTTTCATCTTCCATTAATTTTAATTTTTCTCTTCCTTTCTTATCATGATATTATCAATTTACATTTTTTTTTATCTCACTTTGCTTTTTATCGTTCTCTCTAAAATAGGATGCGAATCATTTTTCTTAAACAATTGGTTACTAAAAGGCTGCTGGTAGCAGCTGCAAGCATTCGACGTTTTGTCCAACTGATAAGTAAAATTGGATTCACTTCTGTCGCTCGAATTCATACAGATTTTACTCAAAAGGCAAAGAGTGTTAAGTTGTTAACGCATCATTGAACACACATTTTGAATGTGTATATGATTGTGAGAGAGTGTTAAAGTGAAGGCCAAACATTAATGAGTAAAATAAATTATCACAGTCTTCTGGTAAAATTCACAAATTTAATTTAGTTCTTAATTACAAGACATTAACCGGAAGGTGGTGGTGCAAGAGTGATGAAATCATTACTTTTAGAACCTAAAATTTTGAGACATAAGTGGCAGTATCAGTTACATCAATAAAATACAAAATTATTATTCATATACAGTATGGAAATGTACCATGCCTGCTAAACTTATGCATGATATAAGGATGGAAATGTTTCAAGCATAAGACTTATCTTGTTCTATTTGCATGAAATAAGGTTGGCTTAATTCTACAATAAAAATAAATAACTTTATTTTCAAATAAATTAACTAAAATCTTTAGATAATCAATACATGACTTTGAGACAATAGACTCATGACAAATTTTGATTGAGTTAAAATCTAATTCATTTATCTATAAAAAATTTTAAAAATAATTAATTAAACTTATTTAATAAAGAGACTCAAGTTAGGCAGTGACCTAACAGATAAGGCCATCCTTGTTCATATAATTAAATTTTTCTCTCTCTTTTGTTTGTTCTCTCTCCATTTTCTCATAAAGATATACTGAAAATACATTGCAGTTCTTGTATTTAAAAATTAGTATGTCTGTTTTATTTAAGTACAAAAATATTTTTTTACTAGATAAATTATTTTAGAATTAATTTTTCATTTTATTTTTAAAACAATATCATAAAACAATGACCTTACAATCTAAATATATCACTTTTAATATAAGTTGAAATATGGGAACAACAATCACCTTTAAGTTTTAGTATATCACGGTATACAGATGAAGAATTGACTTTTAAAACTTATCAGAAGTTAATCCCAAAGGATCAAAGCATTCAAAATTTAATAGAATTTTTTTTATAAAATCTCAAACGAGACATAATTATAAACTTTCATGACAAAGTTTCTGATCCTTAATAAATATGCACACCCAACGTTTAAAAAATCAAATAATAATAATAATAATAAGATTTTATTAAAACTATTTATTTATCCTGTGTAAAGTTGCTCATGTTAAAATTTATTAATTATAAACGTTTTCTCTTTTATTTTATATTTTCTTCATTAATTATACGATTTTAACCAATTAAAAAGAGAAGAACTACTAAAAGTGAAGGAAATAATAAATAAGAGAGAGAGAGAGAGAGAGAAGTGTGTAATTAATTATTAAAAGTGTGTAATTAATAAAGCTTAACTTATGTGATTTTCATAAAATTCATAAAAGTTTTGTAATTATAAAACCTAGAGCTACAAGGCCAAATAAAATGATCTAAGTGACAGAACTAAGGATACTTGTTGAATAAAACAACTATGGTACTGCCTCTATTTATTTATTTATTTTTTTGCTAATCTTTTTTATTTAACACTTTATAATCTTATTCTTAATAGTTAATGTGTTTAGTTGAAATAATGGGATGATAGAAAATTAAGTAATATTTAAAGCAACATATAACATTTCATCCATTTTTTAATGATAAGATGAAATGTTATCATTAAAAAAATTAATGAGAAATTCTAAAAAGGTATTTAAAATATAATTATTTTCAAAATTAAGTTACTGCAAAAAAACATACTTTGATTTCTGATCAACAACTGGTGCAGGTATGGATGTCTGGAAAGGCTTCTGAAAAAATTCAATCTGCATGTGAGAATCTTTCGTCCGTTCATAAACTTCGAAGAATTGATGGTATTATAGTGTTAACAAAATCCCAGAGCAACATATACATTAAAATGTCCAAAAAAATTTAAGGATTTAATTATAAATTTAATCCTTACATTTGACTCTCTCTTTTTTCATTTTAGTCCTTATAAATAGAAATTTCACCTTTTGGTTCTTATAGGATAAATTATTTTCTGTTGTTTATCAAAATTAAAATAATATTAAATTCAGTCCACACACACACACACACATATATATATATATTAAAACCACATAGGAGAGACTGATTTGTTAAAAAAAAAAAACACACACACACACATAGGAATCAAAATGTAAAGTTTTTTCATATAGGACTAAAACAAAAAAGTAAGTCAAGTATATGCACTAAAATTATAATTAACCTATGTTAAAATATAAAACATATCACAGACGAAAGTATTTCATTTGTCAAATTTACCTATAGTAATGGAGAATATATTATAAAATTAAAATGAATTTGTAGAATAATATCATGCCAATTTGACCAATAAATAATATGAATAAAGAATTTATAAGATATTAATATTAAAAGAAAATGAAAACAATAGATCAAAGAGAGAAAAGGGAAAATTGAGACAAATGCTTCTACCATTGCAACTCTTTATGGTCTTTCATTCTGTTCTGAAGACAAGGGTAGAAAGGGTGATTTGCAATTTCATCACCGTTTTCTGAGTCCGCCTTGGTGATTTCCTTTTTCTTGCAAATACACAAGGACATGGACGAGATCATGTTTGATAGAAAAATTTTGAATTTTACCAACTACATTTGTGACGATGGAGAAGCTGAAGACTGAACCTAAAATTACCCTCTTCACCGTGCAACATAAAATTTCAGTTGGGTGAACTAAGAGCTGGTTTGTTTTAAAATTAGATAAGATAAAATTAATTGACTATAGCAATTTAAACAGTTGAAAATAATTAAAATGTGCAAGTATAATTACACAACCGTTTGATGTTGAAATTGTCACGGGGTAAATAATTGATTTTAGCCCGTTGTATCTTCGTCTGGAATCGATTTTCCTCAAATTGACTTTTTTTTTTTCATGTCCATTCATCTAGAGACACGTTATTGCGAACCTAGATACATATTCAACTTAACGTGTTAAATAATCCGCCGGAAAAAACTCGGAAAAGAGAGAGAGAAACAATGTTGGATCCAAAGAACACCTTTTAACCAAAGTCACTAACAATCATTATTGAGGATCAACTCAACAGCGTATATTTTCCTTAAATGTGACACCAAATTAAAAAGAGAAGAAAAATGAGCGATACGTTAACTCGAATGCTGATACACGGAATTTAGAGGGAGAAAACTATAAGGATCTACCAGAGTGCGCTCCAAGTATAACCAAAATTCACATTATATTAGTCGCGACAGAAATGAAATACAGAGATCACTCAAATCATTCATAAATAACAATAACTTGTTGGGTTGGTAATATAAATAAATGCAGACAAATGAGTACAACTCAGATATCTGGGCTGAAATCAACTGTTCTCACAAGCAGAGTATCAGTGGAAAGCTGCAATTTCGTCTCTGAAATGTTTGAGTAGATTCTCAATACTCATAACGTTGTGATCCGCCTTGTCTCTAACTCGTACACTCACCTGGAACAACGAATCAACTCTTAGCCTCCCGCTGGGTATTAAAAAATTCAACGCAAGATAGCTACAACATGATCAATAATCTTTCAGGTATTGAATTTGAATGATGTCACGTGATTTTCCATATGACGTAAGTTCACAAGATTCAAACTATCATGTACACCTATTTGTGCACAGCTCATATTACAAGCAAGCTTGTTCTTTTATACACTTCTAATTAGCCCCAACTTAATGATCAAAGTGTAGGTCAAACACAAATGAAAAGCATGTGAAGAATTGAAATTGAATTACACTACCAATTATTTGAGAACGGGATAAAAGGAAGAACCTGTCCTGTATTAGCTTCCTCCTCTCCAACAACCAAGATGTAATTGTATTGTGCCAACTGTGCTTCTCGCACCTGTAGAAAGCCATAACTTCGAGTTAAGACAATTCTATTTTATTAAGATAAGGCATTAGATTAAGAAGAGTACACCATGTTACATAAAAAGAACTTCTCAAGCATTAATTTAATCCTCTAGAGATTCATTTGACATTAATAAATTTTTATGATATCAAGTAAAGCCCCCAAATATCAAAAGACAATAAAATCAATTTTAAATAATTAATATTATAAGAATAGAAGAATACATGCATGCGCAAGGTATAAAATCTAGTAACACTAAATAACATAGCATAACTCTTAACTCATTGGTAACCGACGAGTGGGAACAGGTTGGGGCAGAAAAACGATAGCATTAGTATTATAAATTCACTGTGGAAACTAACCACAATACTTGTATAAACCAATAATTGTATAAACAGTAGCAATACTGAGTCTCTCTTTCAAATGAGATACAACTCAAATAAACAACCAACATTTCATCAGGCAGCATTGTCAAAACAATGTGTCCATTATTGACCTCTCGATGAATGACATGTATTAAAATCAAAATTTTTGTTCTAAAGTTTGTTTTACCTTCTTCTGAATCTTCCTATCAGTTGTATCAGCATCAACATGATACCCTGCTTGGTGGATTTGATCTCGCACCTGGGAAATTGATGTGCAAGAATATGTTAACAATCAACAACCCTTGGTTTTGACATCTTATCATAATATAGTAAAGGTATCCTAACAAAAATTTTAAACAAAACTATGACAAGTTAATGGTATATTTGACTTAAGTATTTTTTTTTGTTTTTATTAATAATTATAAAAATGACACATTTTCATTTGTTTCCTACTTTCAAATAGTATCCAAGGCAGAATCTTTGGTAATTATTAGTCAAAACGAAAAACATTTCTGCAAACAAAACACACCTTAAGCATAATTAAAAGCTCAATGATTTCAACATTGTCAGTAAGTTACAACTGGAAGTTACCTAAAAATGCATGTGACACTCTAAGCATAATTAAAAGCTCAATGATTTCAACGTGATACACATACGCTCAGCAAAAAGCTGAGAGAGTCAATGTTGCATCAGCTCCGTGGAGAGTAGTAAATAAATGATCAATTATACATGCATGGAAAACATGGGCTACCACAAAAATATATCCTCCAATGAAATTAAAAGTGTTATCGCATGATATGCAGTACACATCCCTATCATTTAATTGTTACAAGGCAAATATACAATAGAATAAAACATTAACTTCAGAGCTATATATATACCTGTAATGCATAAGATTGTGATTTCTCTGACACAGGGCATACAATCGCTTGACGAGGACTGAGCCAGAAGGGCCATTTACCCTTGTAGTGCTCTAAAAGTATGGCAAACATGCGCTCAACAGATCCTAGAATGGCTCTATGTATCATTACAGGTCTCTCAATTTTGGCTTCATCCTCAGCTGAGTATTCCAACTTAAACCGATCAGGAAGCTGGAAATCAAGCTGCATGCAACCACATTCATCTAACTATCAGTTGAAAAGTTATCCTAAAACTGAATCATGTGAAAGCAAATCCAGCTGAACAGTGCAAACCTGCAAAGTTGCACACTGAAATTTCCTACTCAATGCATCAGATACACTTATGTCTATCTTTGGTCCGTAGAATGCACCATCCCCTTCATTCAGCTGCAAGGTTTTATGAAAAATATAAGCACAACAGTATTAAAGCAAATAAATGCAGCATTCCAAAGAAAATAATCAAACAGTTTTAGAAAAAGACAATTGAATAGAAAACAAGATAGGCAAACTCTACTTCAGGATGCCCACTCTGAACTATAGATCTAATAAAAATTATAACCAAATGTTCAAAGCAATATCTTTAACTATATAATGCGGACACAAAACACTTCTAGAAAACATATAGAAGAGAAAATTATTACCTGCCAAGGCTTGCCAAAATCATCTAAAGCTTCTTTAAGAGCACTTTCAGCCTTCTCCCAAGTAGCAAAATCTCCTAAATATTTCTCTGGCCTCTACTCAAGTAGTCAACACATGGTAAAGAATAAATGACTAAATCTTCAGTTGAAAGGGGAAAAAGAGGTTTGATCAGCAAAAACTTAATCTATTTTTATCTTAACTGGAAACTAGGTTACAAAGACAAAAAAAAATTGCTAAAGGATTTATAAAAACATCAGTGCTACATGGAAGTAGCATGAACATTTAATGCATATAATACTGAAGTCATTGATTTTGCAAATTTGGTCCAGTTTACTAAAAAAGTCGTTCAGTAAAATATGGGAAAGGATAAAAAAACTTTTACAAAACCCATTCAATTTATCATTGATTTAGTTGATGAAGTATGCCAAATCTATGCTAATGCTAGTCTGAAACCAGGTCATCCAAATTAAAATGAATGTGGTTTTAACCTCACAATTTAAAACATTCAAAATTATCAACATATGGAGGTGTTTTGTTAATTTGTATAAATTGACGTCAGTTCTATTGTCTTGAATTTTGGTACAAGATCTGCACTTCTCCAGCATTTTGGCCTAGCTTTCACAGATATTAACAATGAGAGAAAGAAACCACAACCAAAATTGTACATTCCTTCAGAAATTTATATAAGCCACCCATGTAGTCAAAATTATAATTTAATTAACTGCAGGAAAATGTCAAAATAAATGGGATTGCATAATAAAATCCGAACAGTTCACAGACAAAAACAATTAAGTTCCTATTGGGAGCACATTGAGTTGAAGACCAAAGCTTTGGGACAAAGGTTTTTAAAACATTGAAAAAGGTACATGGGCATTAAGAAGAATAATGAGCAAAGCATACCGTTGAAAGTTTCAGCTCATATGTGAACCCAAATATGTCATTCACATAATTGATGAAATTCAAGGCATTTCTCACTTCATCCTTTATCTGTAAAATAAATCAAATCAAGAATTCAAACCTCAGCTCAAAAGAGACTTTAAAGATATATGCTGCATAAATTTAAACTCACCTGGGACTCCCTGCAGAAAATATGAGCATCATCCTGTGCAAAATTTAAAACTAGTGTCATTAACAGCTGAGTACTCAATCAGTATAGAAAATAGAAATTAAAGACTATGCAAACAAACAATTGAGATAACAGCTTGCAATGTTTTTCTGGTTGTAATTGTACCATATTTTAAAGAAATAAACAAGACTGAGGGGAAAAATTGACGTTTTAGCTACACAATTATAAATGTATATAAACATGATCCTAAGTGTTTTATATTTAGCTAAGTAGGTCAATCTCCTGTATCCATGTCAATGAATTTTTAACATCACAATCTTTAATCCTCATTTTGTTTTAAGCAACATTTCCAACTCCAGTACCCCCTCTAACGCTTTTCTCTACCAAATTGCAATAGAAAAATAATGAGACTCAAACATGTACTCTAAAATTTCAAACACACTGAATAGATTTTTTTCTATACCTAGTTTCAAACACACTAAATAGATTTTTCCTATACTTAGTATTGACTGTGTACCTGCCAACAAAATTGAAAGAATCAACGAATTATGCTATAAAGCATAAAAATGTATGCCTGCATGTCTCAATGTACCTTAACATAAAAAAGAATGTGATCCCTAATTTAATAAACTAAAACAGCAATTTAATTTTAATTGGAAATATAACCCAATAAAAAATAGATCGCCTTTTTCATCAAAACTTTTATTCAGTAGGTTATGTGGGTCGTGTGTTTATTACAAAAGAAAAGGTTTACCTGCTGAAATCTCCTAACACGGGTTAATCCACTCAAGGCACCACTAGCTTCATTCCGATGTAAAACCCCAAAGTCAGCAAGACGAAGAGGGAGTTCTGCAGAATCATTTATAAGTTGTGAGATAGTGTTTTTTATAAAAAGTATCTGCTCAACCAAATTCAGTCCTCCAAACTCATGAAGTATGTCCATCTAAAACAGAAACTAGAGATATAGTATTTTATTTCACTTGTAAAATAAAAAACAAAATATGTCCACCTCTCACCACCCCAAAGGTATAATTTATAGTCAAGTTCAATTTTGGAATTGGAAAAGGTAGCTGATTGAAAATTTCTTGTTCTATATGTCAAATGACAATATGATATTATAAGGAAAAATACAATTTGCAGATGAACCACAGTTCCCCTTCCCTATAGTCCTTCTGTATAAACGGATTATTGCCTTACAATAGGAATAGGAAAGATGAAATCATAAAAAAGGAGTAAAAACGTATTTCTCTATGTAGGCAACATTCAATCCACTCATATAGGAGCTCAAACATGTGCATTCTCCCAAATTCAACCCTAAAATCTGGATTAGTTAATCCACCCAATTTCCCAAAGCAGGAACATAAAAAATACTATTTGAAGAGATAAATCCCTACATAAATGAAAATTACCTCTATAAGATCGAACCCTGTGCTTAAACATCAAGCAGTGCCCTGGGCAATTCATAGGTTTCAACCCAAACTCTTGTTTGTCAATCTGTAAGAAAGATGCACTTTGTTCAGATAACTTGATTGCTTTATGGACAAAAGATTAAAAAAACTATTTGGAAGGTTTTGAAGATGCCTTTTTAAAACGATAACAAAATAAATATATACATATGGGGAAGATGAAAAGATAGTCCCTCCAAACCGCATTCATAAACAAACATACATTTATACATATTGGGACAAAACCATACCTCTAAGATAAACATATCCTCTCTATAATTTGCAGCATGACCAGATTGCACCCACAGATCCATGTTAAATACATTTGGAGATATGACCTGAGGATACCAAGCACTAAGTACAAAGAAAAAGATTGCTATTGTAACATTAAGAAACTCCTACACTAAAACTTTACCTCTTGATACCCCCTGTCTCTGTACTGATTTCGAATGAACTCCATGAGCTTGTTGTAGATTCGAGCACCATGTGGAAGAAAAAACCAGCTTCCTGGGCTGACATAAACAAAGACAGATCAAGACATAGCAGTCAGAGAAGCTTTTACTGAAAGTTCCAATCAGACAAGAATGAACCCAACATACCTCCATTCATGATGAAGAATAAGTTCCTGCTTAACACCCAAAATCCTGTGATCATACTTTTTAGCCTCCTCCAGCCGAAGCAAATATTCCTGAAAATTAAAGAACCGAAAAAAGGGAAAATTAATAAAGAGATCATATACCACATAGACAATAAAGTGTGTGTCCAGATTCACCATAAGAAGTTCAAGTTCAATTGTCTTGTGTGCATGAAAGCACAAAAACCAAGTGATGTAGATTGAATTACCTTATGCTGGGATTTGATTTTTTAATTAGGGATTTTAATTTGGGATTGTCTTATATTTTGTTATTTGTAGTAACTTGGGATTATTTTAAACTTGGTATATTTTTGTTTTGGACCTCCTTTAAGTTAGGGTTTTATTTGGCCTCCATATATGTAAGTTATCTTTGTAAACATTAGATGGCTTTTCATTACTAATATAGTACTATTCACCATATTAAAAGAGTATCTAAGTTGGGGGGAGTATCCCCACTAAGAATACTCTAGGTTTATTTAGGGGATGTATCCTGCCAAAGGGAGCACCTTTGGGGGTACGGTTATGCTTCACCAGGTTCAAGACTTGATGACATCATATATTTGCAAAATGAAGAAGCCTTGGACCAGTTTGAATAGCCAAACTGTGAGTAGTTCACACGGTTAGACATCTTCCCATCTAGTTCTGCGGTTTTGGGACTGGTTTTAAGACATCCTATAGATGCTTGAGTGGACCAGCCAGAGGAAAAGTTCACGGTTAAATAGGTCCAGTCCAGTTTAAAGAAAAAATGGTTAAGGGTTAATGGCTAATGCTTAATACCTAGCAAATAGAGAACATCTAACAATAGGAGGCTCATATATATGGCTATCACATATGACTAGGAAAGTAATTTGAGAAATGGCACATATTACATTAAAAAAATTGATATATTTAATATCATTCAAAATGATCTCATTTAATAAAACAGCTAAAATATAAAGTAATAACTCTGAAAATTGGAATGTGGTGACAGAATCATAAGAAAATGAAAATATCTTGGAACTCTTAGTCTTAGCATAACAAGAGAAAAGGAAACTATTATAATTTCTACAAATCTACAACATACAACTTGGCCATTTACCCTATAAATCAGCTCACAGAATAAAGATGCAAAAAGCAATATTGCTAAAGAAGGCACAGGTACCCCTTCCCATGGGTTGTTTGGGAAGGAAGATTTTGGAGTGAAGGGTGGGTTAATTTTTCATTTTAAATATATTCAAAATTAATATTTTTTTAAAATAAAATATATAAATTGAGATACTAACATAAACTTAGTGTATTAATCATGCATGCATCTATTAATCATGCATTCATCATCATAAATAATATATAACTTTCTTAATTTTAAAATTAAAAAATATATTTTTTCCTCCCTTCCCCTCCAAAACCCTCTCTCAAACATACCCTTAGTGTTGATGGCAGACAAAATTTTGCTATATATTACATCTCATTAACAACTACTAGCTAGTTATTTACTTATTCCACAAGGTACTGCAACTGAACATTCGGTTCAACCCAGCTCAGTTTGAATAACAGGTAGTTAACCCAAAAAAACAACTTATCAAATAAAAATCACCTTTAAACTCTTTTGATCGGGATAAGATATGCCATAAACTCTTTGTAAACTTTCCCGATTTTTGTCACCCCTCCAATATGCTGATGAAGCCTGGAATTGCAAAACCAATAACCGAAGTACTTGAATGGGATAAATAAAAAATAATTAGAGTTGCATGATTAGACAGCTTGCACACATACCTTTAAGCATGCAATTGCTTTCACAAAGGATGTATTAGGTATATGTGGTCCACGACATAAATCAACCAGGGGACCACATCTGTATACCGTGATAGTTTTGTCAGCAGGCAAATCATTTATAATCTCAACCTGATCACAGTAGCCACAAAGCAGCAAATAGTGAATTTGTGATATCAAAAATTATAGGTGAATGCATATAGGAAATATGGTTCAGATTGATATGACAGTGTAATAAAAAACATATTTATAGCTAAAACAATAAGTTACCCTGCCCCCCAAAAGTAAAAGCATAAACTTGCCTTAAACTTATTATCCGAAAACATCTCAAGTGCCTGATCACGAGTAACTTCAATGCGCTCAAAGGGTTGCTTTTCCTGGAAATATAATCTTCATCATCCATCACATATATCAACACAAAAGTAATGTTTATCACAATAATGAGCAACACATATATATACAAGATAAGGAAGAATTTCGGACTTGCAGAAAACAATGAAAAATGACAATCAGATCAAAACTTTCACAACAGGGAGGGGGATGATCAATCTAATATGTATATACTTAAATTTTTATCAAATCAATTTTGACCAAGTCTAACCAAATTTGAGATGAATTCTAAAACAAAAGCAATGAAATCCATGGGATTTTAAAAAATCAAATAAGGGTCCTCTAAAGTGAGGTTGTCTCTAAAATGGTGTATCCACCTTTTATTTAATTTAAAGTCCATTGAGAACTTAACCTTCCAAAATTCAAGGATGCATACACCCTTACTTGCTCTCATATTGAAGAAATTTTCCTCTAGAAGAGCATTTTCTTTAATAATCAAATCATTAACAGGTTTTTAGCATTCTAAACTCAACATTCGGTCTACCAAATGAAATAAAATCTCATTTTAACATTCCTAGCACACTCTTGGCGAACATCAGATTTCCAGTTTGGATGACCATGCAAGACACCAAAATTTGAATGACCATTTGATATTTAATTCCACAATTGCTCACCTACAAAGTCGCTATAAACCTATATCTCGAGGCTTCAAGACAAAATCAACATTTAAGTAAGAGCTGTAACTATTGTCGATCACAGTAACCAGAAATAATCCCAAGAGCAACAGTAGCAGCTACAACAGCATAAATTTTTTTAAAAAGACACATAAATAAGATAAGGAAGAGAAAATACCGCGACAGCCTTCAATGCAACAGCCTCGATTTGTTTAAAGTGATCGTCATTGAGACTCAAGTCACCGTAAAATGCATCATAATAGAACCCCTAAACAAAAACACTCAATTTCTCGTTCAGTACACATCGTGTTCAAAAGATCACCAATCACAACAGCGTCAGCAGTGCAGCAACACATTACAACAGCAAAAAAAGGCACACACAAACCTCTCCTCTGGTAGTGCAGGGCCCAATGCAGAGCTTGCATCCATACTCCGTCTCAAGAGACTGCAAATAACCAAATTAAAAATCATCATCATTTATTCATCGTAGTCCGAATTAAAATAAAAATTAGAAAAAGAAAAAAATTTAACGAACCTCGCCGAGAATGTGAGCGCTAGAGTGCCAGAAAGTGTCGCGGCCTTCGTCGTCTTCGAACTTGAAGATCTGTAGCTGGCAATCCTCCTCTAGCGGGCGAGTCATGTCCCAAAGCACGCCATTGACTCTGGCAATGAGAGCGTTAGCAGCTAAATTCTTAGAGATTTCGCAAGCGATATCAAGAGGAGTTGTGAGCCACTTCTTCGCTTCCTTAACGTTGCCGTTGGGGAGAGTGACCTTGATGGGATCCGAGGAGAGAGAGAGGCGCTGGGTGCGTTGCTCGGCCAGAATAGTCTCGAACAACTGGATGCGCTTCGGAATCACCGCGTTCAGGTACGCGTCGTCTTTGGCGTGGGCAACCATGGCGGCGGCCACGGAGGAGAAACGGTTAATCGGAGAGAAGAGACGGAGAGGGAGTAGAGAGTGTGAAGCGTAACGGCGCAGACGGATTAGAGAGCATAGCATAGCATAGTAAGACTTTGTTGTGGGTTTTGCTTTGGAATTTTATTTATTCTTTGTTACTGTAGAAACACACAAAATAGAAATGAAATGAAATCGGCTCACCACGGGCCTACGCGAACCTTTTACGAGGTTTTTAGGGTTTTTGGTTTATTTTCTTCTTTTTACTATTCATCTGTTATTATTTATTTATTACACTATGCTTAAGCCCAAAGCGAACAGTCCCCATTAGCCCCGATTTGACTCCCAATTCTTTACCTTGTCTGCTCAGAATAAAATTATGAAATAATTTATTTTTTTAAATTATTGAATCATTCAAATTTGTGTTTATATGTAAGATATTTTATTTTTATTTTTATTTTTATCATTTTTTATATTTATGTCTTTAATATATTTACCGTTAGTTATACACCAAATCTTTTTCAAGATTAAATTTTGAATAATAAAAAATATTAAATTTTATAATGTATTTTTTAATAAAATTTATTAATTTCAAACATAAAAGCTCAAGTTAAGTTATAATAGTAATTTTTCTTTCCTCAAAATTTTGAGAATATGAATATGAAAAAGGACAATAGTATTGCATTATTAAAAATAAATTGTTGATTAAGAACAAATTTTGAAAAATTCTGGAACATTTGTTGTATAATTTTCATTGTTAGACAAATTTAACAATTGAAATTTTTTAGATTGATAATAATAATTAAAATGACTTGGATAATTAAAGAAAGTCAAATAAAGAGAGACTATAGAATTAATTTGATAATAATGAAAGTTTAGGCTTCAATTTTTTTTTATTACTATATATCTCTCAATTCAATTTTATTCAATTGTTTTAAAGTGATTACTAATTATTTAATTAATTATTAACACTACTTGATGATGATGTAATAACGGTAATCTTCTTATGTACATGTTACTTACCCCAATGATACATAAATAAAAGCACTAAGATATATTGGTTTTCTTAAACTTAATTAAATAGTTAGAAATTTAGGTGATAAATATTTTATAAACTCAAATGATGTCTTAATTCTATTAACTTATTAATAATATGATTACTTATTAATTGATAAACTAAGATTAATCTTTGGATGATAAATTTAACAATAATAATAACAATAAATGGACAATTTTAATTTACAAATTACATCATTATCATAAAATTAATCAAGTTATATTATAAGAATTCACTTCAGTATTATGACAAAAGGGTGTTTAATTACACATTATAGTAATAAAAATAAAAGAAACTAAATATAAAATATCTATAATCTAAAAAATAAATTGAAGGGGTGATCAAAATAGGAGAATGGAATAATCTAGATGTGATCAATGGATGAGTTTTTGGATCAAGGCTTAAAGTTCAGTTGTAGGGAAGATACAGAGAGCTACAATCACTTATTTCAAAATCTCAATTAAAAAAGATAGAAGATAAAGTTCAAAATTTAAACCTAAAACTTAAAACATAAATTTAAAATTTATTCATTTATATTTTGTAACAATATTTTTTAAAATTTAACTATTTAAATAAGTTAGAACATTGTCACTTCTTACAAAAGAATAAAAAAATACAGTGAATTCATAAAATAAAATGATAACTATAATAAAAATAAGATGAATTTAAAAAATAAAGTGATAGAATGATAGTTTATTTGTATTCTTATTTTTATAAATATCAAAATTTTATATTATGTTAATTTCAAGCATAAAATTTTAAGTTACGTTATAACAGTAACTTGTTTCTTTTTTTTCGAAAGTTTGAGAGTAGTTTGCTCTAATAAGAAGAAGATAATTGCATTTGTATCAACTTTAGCCAATTTAGGGACCAAGTCCCTATTAAGATTCATAGTGATATTTACAAGTTAAAAACTTTCTTTGAAGATTTTGATGCAAATTTGGGGGTACCCAGTTATATCAAAAGTTTCTGAAGGTAAAATACAAATTGAAAAGATAATTCCGAAATTGTTGAACTAGACAAAAAAAAAAGTTGTGTTTTGGCTGAGACTAGAGACGAGAGCCTTGGACAATTGTGGTGTGAAAAATTACAAGTTGAAGACTATGTTAAAATGCAAGACTATTATCAGCTTTGTAAAAATGGCCTACCCCAGCAAGAAGAAAGCCGAAGATGAATGGCTGATTTTTTTAACATGCTTTCTTCTCAGTTATTTTGATCTGACACAACATTAGCTAATAGAAACTAATCTACGACTAACAAACTGAACGATACTTTTCTATCGTTCTTGACTTGATTTTAATTTAATTTTTTGAAATTTTTCTTACATTGGTTGAAATTTAACTTATTAAATCAGTTTGAATTATATATGATCGCTGTTTTCTGGTTTTTCCATTAACGATAGGATACAAAAGACACGACTGCAATACAAATGTTCGAAGTCAAGACAACCCTAAAAAGGGCACAGTTAACATTTTAGATTAATTGGAAGGCGAGAAATAGTGCACTCTTGGACTTTCCATCCTTGTATCATGTTTTGTATCTCTTAACAAAATTACTCTTGACTTGGAAAAAAAAAATCAACATTTAAATTAAAAAATAATTTTTAAAAATTAATTTATCCTTTCCTTTTTTAATCAAATAAAAATATATCATTGTTCATATTTTTTTCTTCTAAAGTACTCACTCAATTCCTTTTTATTTCACATAACTTAAGAAAATTAATTAATATTCTAGTTTGTATAAAAAACAATATTTAATTTTATCTTTATTAATTATTTTATTTTTTATTTTTTAATTTGTTAATACAAGAGTAATAAAAATAATTTTTCTAAATTCTAAAATAACAAATAAAAAATATTTTTATAAAGACCAATAATAATATTTAGTAACAATCCTTTGAAATAAACAAAATTTGAGACACGTGTTTGAGGCAGTAATCTGAAGTTGTCAAACGAGAAAATGACAATTTTGCCTAACCTTTTGCCTTCTTTAGTGAGGTCTATGGTCTGTACTATAGTCTGCAGCTGTAGGGGACCCAAAAACCTTGGGGTTTGGAAGTGACTTCGTTTTCACATGGTTACTATTTAGACATGGAGAAACACAATTAGATGCACACACTACATCACTTACTTATTATTATCATCATTAGGGTTTCCTTTTCATGGAGAAGATAACCCTCTAAGAGAGAGAAACAATTAACCCAGGCTCAGGTGTCTGCTGAGATTTCAAATTCTCAACAACTATGGTAGGTCAACTGCTACTGCAACGTTGACATTTTCTCAGGCATGTTTCCATAAAATGTTATGTTGTGCTTATGTTTCTTGTTTTTCACAATGCATGAGTTGGGTTTAGTTCCAAAATAGGCAAAGGTTGTAACTTTGCTCAAAACCACAACATGGTTGACACTCTCTCATTCTGAGCTTAAAATTTAGACATAGTCTAACTTGAATTTCGATTTGGAATACTATATTTTGAAAATGTATAGGGTTCATTCTCATTCTCAAATTCTTCAGAGCAATGGTGCTATCACTAGCCCCCCTATTCTTTCTCCATATTCTTCTTCATCACTGCCTTATAGTTCTAACTATCAGAATCAGAGACAGTCAGCTCCATCCCCAGCTTCTTCATCTGGGGGTAGAATAAGCCCTGCAATTCTTTTCATTATAGTTATTTTAGCTGTGGTGTTTTTCATCTTGGGTCTGCTTCACTTGCTTGTTAGATTTCTCATAAAGCACAGGTCTTCTTCATCAATTTCCCAATCCAATAGATACCCTGACATGTCTGAATCAGATGCTTACCAGAGACAGTTACAGCAACTCTTCCATCTTCATGATTCAGGCCTGGATCAGGCCTTCATAGATGCTCTCCCTGTCTTCTTTTACAAAGAGATAATAGGCTTGAAAGAGCCATTTGATTGTGCAGTTTGCCTCTGTGAGTTCTTGGAACAAGATAAGCTGAGATTGCTTCCCATGTGTAACCATGCTTTTCACATTGATTGCATAGACACATGGTTGCTGTCTAATTCAACTTGTCCTCTTTGTAGAGGAACTCTTTATTCACCAGGCTTTGCCTTTGAAAACTCAGTTTTTGACTTTGAGGGTCCACATGAGGAAGATGGGATTTCAGGCAGTGGTGGGGGTGGGGTTGCTTCTGTTAACAAAACTACAGAAAGTCATATAGTGAATGGGAAAAGGGTGTTTTCTGTCAGGCTTGGAAAATTTAGAAGCACAAATGATGGAGAGAGGGTAGAGAAGGGTGAAGGAGAGAGCAGCAATGGCAATTTGGATGTAAGGAGATGCTATTCAATGGGGTCATTTCAGTACGTGGTTGCTGATTCAGATCTGAGAGTGGCTTTATGCCCAAGTAGAGGTGATGGAGGTAGCAGTGACAGCATGAGACTGCTGAAGGGAAGAGCAGCTCCAAATTTGAGTTCTTCCACTGATGGGGATGTTGAGGGTAAAAAAATCAACATTGCAAGGAAAGGTGAAAGCTTCTCTGTTTCCAAGATCTGGCAATGGTCTAGGAAAGATAAGTTAATAAGTTCATCAGATGCCCATTTCCATAATTCTGCTGTCACTTCAAATTTGCCATGGATGAATAAAGCCAGAGGTACATGATGCACGAAGCTACTCTGTATTCTGTATTTTAACTACTTTCATATTTTCAATGAATGAATCCATTTGTTGAGCTCCTGCTTCCTCTCACACTTTGATTTTACTTTTTTGTTTTTGTAGTGATATAACTTGTAAATTATGCATAAAACACATAATCAAACAATGCTCTTTGAACTAGATTTAATCTTGAGTGTAAAGAATATAACTCCTAATCCAGCAATGGGTTACGGTATGTATTTGCCCTTATTTTGCAGTTCCTGCTACATTTTTTTTTTACTTTACCTCCTATAGCACTTTTTATGTACAGAAAAACTAATATTTACTCTATCCCCTATACCACTTTGGTACAAAGGAGGACAGAAACTCAAATGTAGAACAATCATTTTTGTTTGTAATATATCCTTCCTATATTAGCAGAATCAAACACCTATTTTTGTTGAGAGTTCATGGAAAGCTATATTTAGTAGAGATTGAAAGGAAAAAGAAAAGAGTAAAGTTAGTATTTGGAAAGAGTCACACCATATGATTTTGACATAATTTTGAATGTGGGTCCCTAATGCCATGTGATTATTTAATTAAGTGTCAAAAGTGGTTTTTATTAGCAATTTCCTTCAAGGAGCAGGAAGATTAAAGTGAAGTCAAATGGGGGTTGCTTTTTGGATGCTGTGGTTTTTCTCTAGAGAGGCTTGCTTTTTCGCTTTTGGGTTAAAAATAAAGTGAAAGAAAGAAACAAGGAAGGATTATATTCCTTCTTCTATTGCTTAATCTTGTGTGTGACGAGTTACGACCCTCTATTGAGGTTATCCCTTCTTTATGCTTAGAGCATGACCCCAAGATGACGAGATGGGTGGAAACAGAATTGTGAGGTGCATGAGTTTTTCAGATCATGACTATGAACTCCTGACCTGACATCATGAGCCAGTGGATAATGGTGGGGTTCTGTGACTGTGAGAGTGCTCTCTACCTATGATGGTTTTGATTTGTTTGCTGTTTTTTTTTTTAATATAAAAAATTAGGATTTGTAAAGAAATTTAGAAAACAAGGTTTTGGTTGTTTTAATCATATTTTCATAACACAAAATAGGAAAATATAAAATGTTTTTGTTTCTATATAATTACTAATTGAAATATATTTACAAAAAAAAATAAAGCAAGCACATCCTAATTATTTTATATACCTCTTGGAAAATTTGATTAATGTTAATTACACGCATTTCTCTATTTGCTCTATTGATCTCGCATTCTATGTTGTCTTAAATCTTAAAAAGTCGTGGGTTTACTTCTTATTTTGGTGATCTTTTTATTAATAATTTAGATCTATAAGTATTAATATGAACCGGTTATATCTGTAACCTGATTAAAATTTTCATTGAGGTTAGTTATCCTAATTTTGGATAGGGAAAACCTCCTTTCTCCTACTCTGTCTGCCAAAAAACAACCCTTTGTTTCTAAATATTATTCACAAGTTGCTGAGTCTTTCAAACTCTTCACTTATGTTACTTGTTATTACACGTTCCACTAGTGTGTATAAAAATAAACAATTTTTTTAACATGTATTAAAAAAAAATACACAATAACAAATTCTTATTAAAAATTATAATATTTACTATTATTAATGCATTAAATTCTATAATATCATAAGATTTTTAATAAAAAATTTAATATATGCATGATTAGAAAATTAATATATAAATTACGAGCTCCAATTTCAATGCAAACCCATTAGTGAAAATTTATGAATTACACATTTAGGTATTAAATTTTGATATTTTGCTTGCGGTTGTCAGACAAAAGCACGTAGTAACCGCAATTCACACTTCCACCATGGTTCCCCCAAAGCTTATTTAATTTTAGGTCAACTTCCTAAGGCTAAGAATCAGTGTGCACCTTCATGCTGGGGCCTGTGAGCTAAAGGCAAGCTTTTCCACCACCTCATTATTGACCCATAATAATGGGGTACATCTGTTAGATGGTCACCGACTATACCTTAGCAAAATGACAGTCCCAAGATGACCCCAAATTCAAGAAGGAACAAAAACATAAAACTTATTTACATGATTTAAAAGAAAGAAATTAAAACCAGAATTTTATTTAATAATTTATATAATAAAAATTGACTTTAAAGGTTGATACGTGTTACTAAAATAAAATTTTAATTATAAAACAATACCTACGAAACTTTACTTAATTTTTTTCTAAAAAAAGTAAAGAAACTTAGTTTAGTATAGATGGTTGGCTGGATCTCATATAGAAAGATACCAACTCTGCAATATATACTTATTATTGAGAGATATTCAACCAAGAAAGATATTAGATAACGACGTTTATCTCTCTCAAATCGATGAAGTGTGGAGAACAATAATCTAAGGTGGGGCAAAGGAAACAAACAACGAGGTGGTTAAGCATAAATTAGAATGCTGTTGAGTGATTTTAGTGTTGTATATGACAGCACAAAGTTGTTAAGCACCATCAGGCGTTTCATATAAGAAGACAAACAACTTGCAATTTAATCGATCCAACGCATTCTTGATAGTTTACTACATAAAATATCAGTTATCTACTTTCTTATGAACATTAACAAGTGTACATTTATTTTATGTTATGTCTAAAACCTAAGATTAATTTTTAAAAAGTACAGTCCCCTAACAAATAATCTTAGGATCTTATACCAATATATACATATAACGTTCATTCACTCATTTTTAAGAAATATTTGAATGATTTATATTTTTAGGTGTATTATAAGAAAATTAAAGTTATTAAAAAATATGTTTTGAAAAATCATAGTTATAACTTGTTAATGTACTTTTTTCTAAATAATAAGTGAATGTATATAAGTATATATTATTTTTTTTTCAATTCTTCTACTAGATTAAGTAAATCAATTTCATATAAAAATAGAATTAACAAATACTTTATTATATTATTTTATTTTAATGAATAATATTTTTTTAATATAAATAAATATTAAATTCTAAATAACATAATTGCAAATATCTAAATTATGTAAAATTATATATACACACACGGTGCTTGCAGTAAATCTCTCTCTTAATTATTCACCTCGGATCCGTAAAACTCAAATGTTCTTTAAAAAGCAACCGAAGTTACCCAATTTTAAGGTTAAGATATCGTCACAAGTGTCGTACTCGAACTTACAGCTAGGACGGAATTTACGTCCACATGTGAAGTTCACTTGGACGTTGGATTTTCCAATAGGCAATTGAAAGTGGAAGGGCTAACGTGCAAGACAATTACAATCTTGTACCTTCCTCCTTCGGCTCTAGTCAATTGCGAAAATACCCTTGGCGTTTCAAAATTCGGTAACTTCAATTTTTTAAACTTGACAAACCTTACAAAAGGGTTTATGTGACGTCTAGCCTATTATATCAGTTGGAACTTTTACCAATATTTAGATAAAAACATTCCTGGAGGGTAGTATTCAGACAACATAAAGTGCTCTTACCAACATATATGGGATGATTATGAATCACATACTTCACAATGTATAATCCTCACTTTTCAATCAAACAGCCCAAAAACAAGCAAGAAAGTTGAATAATTTTGAGCTTACATTTCATTAATCTTGAGGGAGAAAAGTTACATAAAATCAAATATACCACCAATCGTCTAAAGGATCAAATTGCATTCAACAACACTATAACTTTAGACAGCAAGACCGAGCGACTACCTCCAAAAAAAAAATGGTAAGAAAGCACCTCAAGTTCTCAACATGACACATAACTCTCAGTGCCTAGAGAGGCAAAATTTGATTTCGACATTTTCATACAGGAATATTTTGTACTAATGTACATAAACCACCTAAGTAAAAAAGAAAAAGGTGAAAGAAAGACGTGAAGCCACCACTAGACTTCAAATATGAGCCAAAAAGTGGTCCAGCTGCTCGAACGATACCTTCCTCATCTGAAGGAACGAAACATGAAAACTGCACCAGTAATTATAGAGTCCTGGCCAAAACAAAGGGTTTTGTGTATCACCTTAATGATCCCTGATCATTAGGCTTCACAAATCACGAGGGAAATTATTGATTTGTCCTTCCTCAAGTGTATCCTTGCCATTTATCTTGTATGCTATCCTTATGCGCATGACAAGAGATTTCTGGAAAAAGAATAGTTGCTAGAAATCAAGTCTTGTCTAAGAAGTGCTTATACATATAGATGAACATAACGGGGAAAAAATCTCAAGAAGAGTACACCATATCCATTCTATAAAGGGGAAGAAAGGGGGGGGGGGGGGTGTTGTTTCGTCCATGGTTATAAATCCCAGTCCCATATATAGGCATGGAGTGGCAAGTCCAAAAAAAGCTCTAACAGATAGCAAAGAGTAGGAGAATTGCTATGTCGAAGATTATAAACACAAGAAAAATAGTTTATTCTACACAATTGCTCAACAATAAAAATTAACATTGAAGACATATCCATCATTAGTAAATTAAAGTCAATCTAGAGTCTAGACTTCAAACAACAAAGCCAAATATGATTTTGTCTAATGCCTAATGAGTTTAAATGCTTGTGCAGTAAACTAAAAATATATTAGAGTTTATTCTACATATCCTTGGTGGTTTTGATGAACAATCTGAAAAGTAGTGGTCAATCAATTAACCCATAGACACAAGTCATTAGCAGTTTCGCAGCATGTACTATCAGATACTAAAATAAATCATAAATTTAGCAGCTTAGCAGCAACATGCCAGTGATCAACATTACAGTAAAACAATATTAATAAAGAGCATCTACCTTTCCATGTTGGCTATTAGTAACTTTCAAAGTTTGTGTTATGGACCCATTTCCAGCTTCCGGAAGAGTATTGCTGCTAGCTGGATCTAAGTACAATTGAAGAAACTGCAAGCCAAAATAACAAAATTCGTAAGTACTAGATGGTGGCAAGTAACAAAGCAGCTAAAAAGATTTTTTTATTCCTACAGATCAACTAGTAGAACTGCTCATGATTATCAAACATTATAGAATAGATCTAATTATTCAGCACTCAAAAGCTCAGATAACTAATTAGAGTAATACAAAGGAAACTATCAAGCTACTGACAGCTGCAAACATTTTTATTG